TTCGGCCTAAAAATTCTTCTTTAAAACATATTATTTTCCTACCACTGTTAATATAATTTTAGCGACATTCCTACTAATTTACTCATTACTATATGCGATATATCGGTGGAAGGTGGTTAGAAACTTCTTTTGAACAATAAAAAGATTTTTTTACAACTATTAGTATGTGTTAAAGATACTCTGTCGCTGGGCAATGATGTGGCTGAAAATGGCTGCCGTGCAGTCATGATCGGACCAAAATGTATTTGGATTAGTGACTCAAGGTTAAGTTTTCCTGCCTCTATCAAGAATACATATTTTGTCACTGCAAACTGAACCTGGATCCGTACTAACAGAACATGTTTGATGTCCATTTAAACACAACAGTTTTATACAGAAGTGACTGGTTCATCTTGTAGTGAACCCATGTCCTTAAAATAATTCATGATCTGTGTGTCTCGGCACACAAAGGAGTAAGATGAACATAGAGGTTGATTCACTAGAATGCACTGCTGACATTCAGATTACATCCTGATGGTGAACCTATTAATACTTCATGGTTGTCTGCCTATTAAATTATATTTTTTCTTCAACCTGTAAAATTTGTGTGCATGTAGAGCCCTGTAGGTAAAGCTGATTATATTCTGTAATTGTAAAAAGAAGGACCCTTTGCACTTTTATGCACCTAATAAAATACAGTACGTCAAGAACAGATGCTGGTAGATGATTGTCTTAGAGGAAAGTCAAAGGGAATTCAATAAGTAAGACAGTGAACAAAGAGCAATGTTAACATCAATTATCATGTGATTTTTGTTTAAAGGATAAGTGCAAAACGTACCTTTGAATCAAATTCCAGCAGTGCAACTCCCCCCTCCCCCAGCTGATTATTGCATCAATAAATATTCTAAATTTGCGTAAATCAAATCTTTTAAAAAGTATTTTTAGAAGCACTGTGTGCTGAGCCGACTGCCACTATCCTCTATGGTTGTTCCCTGTCCTCTGTGTGTAATGGACAGCAAGGACAGGCCAGATTTATAATGTTTATTGGTGCAAATATGAGCTTGCTGACTTTACTCACGAAAGTGCATTTATGAAAGGTACACAATCACATTAAGCAGAATGTGTAATCTTTTCCAATGATCGGCATAACCAGGATTTCATTTAATTTGTAAGTTCCAATGGTCTGGGGCATTTCATCTTCATATTGTACAATTTTATTAATGATTTCATACTGTAGAAATGTATCTCCTGTATAGGACCAATTCACAGGAAATTATACTATGGGTGGATGAAGACCATTTACTTGGTGCTTAAACATAAACTATATTGCCAAAAGTATTGGGGCACCCCTCCAAGTCATTGGATTCAGGTGTTCCAATCACCTCCATGGCCACAGGTGTGTAAAATTAAGCACCTAGACATGCAGATGCTTCTACAAACATTTATGAAAGAATGGGTCGTTCTCAGGAGCTCAGTGAACTCAAGTGTGGTACCGTGATAGGTTGCCACCTGTGCAATAAGTTCATCAAAATTTCTTGCTACTAAATATTCCACGATCAACTGTTAGTGCTATTATAACAAAGTGGAAGCAACTGGCAACAACAGCAACTCAGCCACGAAGTGGTAGGCCACTGTAGGCCACCGTAAAATGACAGAGCGGGGTCAGCGCATGCTGAAGTGCACAGTGCGCAGAAGTTGCCAACTGTCTGCAGAGTCCATAGCTACAGATCTCCAAACTTTGTGTGTCCTTCAGATTGGCACAACAACAGTGCGTAGAGAGCTTCATGGAATGGGTTTCCATGGCCGAGCAGCTGCACCCAAGCCTTACATCACCAAGTGCCATGCAAAGCGTTAGATGCAGTGGTGTAAAGCACGCCGCCACTGGACTCTAGAGAAGTGGAGACGTGTTCTCTGGAGTGACGAATCACGCTTCTCTGTCTGGCAATCCGATGAACGTGTCTGGGTTTGGCGGTTGCCAGGAGAACGGTACTTGCCTGGCTGCAATGTGCAACGTTTGGTGGAGGGGGTATTATGGTGTGGGGTTGTTTTTCAGGGGTTGGGCTTCTGCCCCTTAGTTCCAGGGAAGGGAACTCTTAAGGCATCAGCATACGAAGACATTTTGGACAATTTCATGCTCCCAACTTTGTGGGAACAGTTTGGGGATGGCCCCTTCCTGTTCCAACACGACTGTGCACCAATGCAGAAAGCAAGGTCCATAAAGACATGGATGAGTGATTTTGGGTTGGAGGAACGTGACTGGCCTGCACAGAGTCCTGACCTCAACCCAATCGAACACCTTCGGGGTGAATTAGAGCAGAGACTGTGAGCCAGGCCTTCTTGTGCAACATCAGTACCTGACCTCACAAATGCGCTTCTGGAAGAATGGTCAAACATTCCCATAGACACACTCCTAATCCTTGTGGACGCCTTCCCAGAAGAGTTGAAGCTGTTATAGCGTCAAAGGGTGGGCCAACTCAATATTGAACCCTACGGACTAAGACTGGGATGACGTTAAAGTTCATGTGCGTGTAAAGGCAGGCATCCCAATACTTTTGGCAATATAGTGTATATGGGGGTCTATTTATTAATGCTTTCCCCCAAGATTCATACAACTTTAACCCAAGATTTACCTATTTCCACACAAGAATCCATTAGAAAAAATGGTGAATAATGAGTAAAAGTTGTTTGAATGCTGGGTGAAAACATTGATAAATGGACCCTATAATGTGTAATTCCATTTAAGTTTCCTGTAGTACACTTTACATGTACACTATACATGTGTCGCAGTGCTCACCCATATAGGTTTTTTCCCAATGTTTAAAGCAATTTCTTTTATCGTTCTTAGATTTATCTATGTGTTAATTTTCACCTTCCCTTTCACCTTGTTGTTTAATTTCAGTTGGGTGACTTCCTTTGCAATTCTCAATAGACTGCAAACAGGTTTTCCATATGTTTATACAGTATTTCTGAGGTCTGTAAGTCATGTGAGCACACCTTTCCCTCTTTTCCTTTTGTACTGTTCCACAGCTTGTCTCTGACAGCTGGCATGTGCGACAGCCACTGAAGCAATGCATGCTGACACTTAATGGCAGACTTGTACACCTCTACCATGTGTCTATGAAATACAACAGATGACAAGGTAGAATGATGGTAATAAGTAACCATAACCTAAGTTTTATGGGCTGCGTTCTATATGCAGCTGAAACCCGCCCCTTGTGGACAGACACCATAGAAAACCAAGAACCAAATGCCGCAGACAACAATCAGGCCACTACGTTGCAGCACCCTGTCCCCAACTGTAATTTGTGAATGGAGATATTCTGCTCAGTACACACTTTTAGATGCACCACTTGCTGAGCCCAATGAAGTAATCAGAAATGACAGCCAGTCATCCAAAAGTGTCCGAAAAATCAGCAATGTGAATGAGCCCTTACAATACAGTGTAGGGAGGATTTCTGAAAATTGGTTGAAATATAGTCTTAGCTTGCAGCTAAGCCACCTTTCTAAACAATTGTGGGACTGGCATGACTGGCTTTTGTTTGCATCAGATGGGTTTTGCAATTCTATACAAGTCTATGGGAATGCAAACCCCACTTAAAGCAGGTCAAATGCAGCTTAGAAAGAGGTCAACTGCAGGTCAAATGTACCTGTCAATAAATTCTAAATGTTCGCAGAAGCGTCACAAACTGATGCCAAACCGATGCCATCAACACAAGTCCTAATTTTCACTACTTCAGCTGCTTTTTAAATAATATAGCAGAATGGGAAATCCAACATGGAGAATAAGACTTCATCAAAATAACTATGACAAAAGATAGACTGCAAATGCTAGTGTACAAATAGTTGCAAGGTCTGTTACAGATAAAGAAAACTATGGTAAATGAACTTGACATTATCAGCAAATGCTGAAAATAACGACTTTGATGGATTGAGCATTTCAGTAAACATAATTATAAACATTCATTCTGCTCTACTTTGACCACTATTCCATACAGTGTAACAGATCTTTCCATACCTACATGTACTGAGTCACATGGCAAAAGTAGCACTTTGCATCTACTAAATGTTTGGGTTGTATCAACTCAAACTTGCTCAAATAAACAGCCCCATTTAGCCTCACCATATGCTTCTTCAGAAAATGAGCATACTATCATCTGAACTTGCTACCTTTAGGAACAGGAATCACCAGATATTGTTGTAGACAAATAAAGGAAGGCAAGGAACCCAGCTGTGTGCATGTAACTCATGATGCTTCTGTTTGTTTAAATTCTGGAGTCTACATGGAATGGTCTATTCATGGTCCTGCTTAAAGTGTTGGATGGTCATTTATGCAAGTAATAAATCTTGTTTTATAGCTCTAAAATATAAGACATTGTGACATTTTGATAGCCACATGGAAAAAACAGAAATAAAAATCAGTACTGGTCTAATTTCTACGTACTGCTAGCTTACTAATAATACTTATGGACAATGGGCTTTATATAAAAAGTATAAAAATGAAGTGTTACAGCCCACAGCAACCAATCAGATTCCAGCTGTCAGGTTTTGGTGCATGACAACAACAAAAAGGAAACAGAAGGAACACCTTATAATACCCAAGACCAGTTTGTCTGGTTGCTTTTCTCAACATGGGTTAGCTACCTCTGGCCTAGCTTAATGCATTAAACTCAGTATTTGTCTTCTGACATACCAAAACAAAAGGACTCAAATATAATTTAGCAGAATTCTCCATAGCTTTCAAAGCCTATATTGAGAAATATACTATCTTTAAATACAAGATTATATTTCAGGAAGGGGCTAAACATGCTTTTTTATGTCTTGAAAAGTAATGCTAAAATAAATGACAACCATAATCAGTTTTCAGCGTTCAATCTGCTGTAGGAAGGGAAATCTGTAGAATGATTCATTACTATGGGTCATACCTCCAATTATGCTTTGTAACAGTTTTAACACATCTGTGCCAGGTGTCTTTGTGAGATTTATAAATGTTTGTCATTACTCTATTGCAAAGTCCCCTATTTTTAAATGACTGTTTCATTGAGTAATTTCACCAACTTGATGAAAGTTCCAGTTGTGATAGATCTGTCAGACATTCGTCAAGCCATCTTCTTTTTTTTTTTACAACCTTTTTAAGGAAGAAAATTTCCAAATAAAAGTAGTTAATTAGTCTCTGTAATGTTACAGTGTCCATCTCTGTACAGTCTTTATTTGTTGTAGGGGACACAGGCTGGTAATATGACAGTAGCACAAGCCGGCCCAGCGAGGGGCTCAGCAACATCTCCTTCCAGTTCTGTCCAGCTGGCTTTATCAGCACTATAGCAAATCGTGGATGACTTGTAAGCACCCTATAATGACATAAAAATGCTTTGTTAAAGTATGGTCATTTTCATTATACAATCAGAAAAGGATCATTAAAGTGAACCATTCAGTAATGTCATAATGATCAGCATGAGCCTTGCCCATAGTATGGTTGGCTCTATGGATAGGTTTTGTCACATTTTGGACCAATGGTGCTCAATGCATAGGGCTCATAGGCTATAATGTTATTTCCCAAAGAAAACTAAGATGATCCAGCTATATTATAACTTATATACTTGGCTAAATAAAGACTGGATCTACCGGTTTGCTCAAATTTATGCTTACAGTGACATGGTTGGTATGGTTAGCTCGCCTCCTCCTCTATTCTCATACCAAACCAGCATATATTGCAATTCGTAGTGTAACACCTACCATACTCCAACTGTAGCCACCAACAAGGTAAACTCGATCGTCCAGTACTGCACACCCTGGGCCACTGCGCCCTTCCAGAATAGGTGTCTGTAGAATGTTCCACTGGTCTGCCTTTGGGTCATAACACTCCACAAGCATAACGTCAAGATGGGAGAATCCTAAACATAATCAGACCTTAATTAATATATTTCTATGTGGATGATATTTAATTTTGAGAGAGCAATAGCAGAGGAAATACAATTCTTACTGTTTATGCCCTGTGTATAAGACTTTATACCTGCAGCAACCAGGCTGTCTTACTAGCCCATGTGGTCATTATTTCCTCATGTGGTCAGGTAGCCTTGTCTGAAAGCCATGTGACCATAAAGTTCTATGGCCAAATGGGACATATAAAAGATTTTAGCAGCCATGTTGACACTCTGGATCATGAAAGAAGCTGTAGAAACAGATGGACAATGGCAGACGCTAGGCCCCATCACATCATCAATCTGCATAACCCTCTTAATGGATATTTAATTTCACAATGTTATAACTGTTCATTGTACAATCATCAAAAAAGACTAGAGAGGATGTGTTGAAGCAGCACTCATTCTTGTCTTTGCTTCCTTGCCACTTGATGATGCATTTTGTTAAAGGAAACATCAACTGGTAAAACATACACATACATTTTCAATGTAATGCAATTGAAAATGACCTTTTCATTTTAAACTGCCACTGATTTTCTAAAAATGACACAAATTCAAATGTCAACTCTTGAAAAACAGAGTACTTGTTTATACAGGTACCCCATACTCATATGCCTGGAAGTCCATATGGAGCTGGAGTACAAATTCTGGGCATCCCCTGTTATTTGATTTTCAATGTGATAGTAAGTGCTCACATAACAGGGATGCAGGCTTTTTTTATAACAACATTAAGGAGGTTATTCACAAAGCTAGCTGAAGGATCAGCCGTAGCTCCGGCTGATCCTTCGGCTAGCTTCGGCCAACTGAGCCCTCCGGTTCAGTTCACTATAGACCGTACAGCTCCCGAAGTTGGCCGAGTGGCTCAGTCGAGCCGAAGGCATATGCTTCAGCTCGACTGAGCCGAGGTGAAAGCCGATTACTGATAGCTGGGCGGTCATCTCATGGCTGGCTCCGTCCACTTGCAATGACAGTTCAGCGTCCCCTGGTTACTTAGTAGCCAGGGGACACTGATCTGTCAATACAATAAGAAACTCGGCGGAGCCGCCGTGATATCACGGTGGCTCTGCTGAGTTCTCAGTGTTTAATGACAGTTCAGCGTCCCCTGGTTACACAGTAACCAGGGGACGCTGAACTGTCATGAGAGCTCAGCACGGCCGGCAGTGATATCAAGGCCGGCCCGCTGAGCTCTCATGACAGTTCAGTGCCCCCTGGTTACTAGGTAACCAGGGGACGCTGAGCTGTCATTACAATGAGAGCTTAGCGGAGCCGGCTTTGATATCACCGCCGGCTCCGCCAAGCTCTCATTGTAAGGACAGCTGGTCCCGACCAATAGAAAACAGTTGGGCGGAGCTGTCACTGCTAGCTCCGCCCAATCATTTTCTATTTTTTTGAACTTTTGTCGACTGTTCATCTATTCTGCTCGGTACCACGGAGGTACCGAGCAGCCGAAGCCAGCCGAAGCAAACCGATGTATGGCTGATTTACGGCTGAAATCAGCTGTACAAGCCTGAAGTGAATAGCCGAAAAGCGTTCGGCTCACTTCTCTTCGGGTCGGTTATTCACTAGGCTGCCTACGACAGCTTTGTGAATAACCTTTTAAGATTGCTCATGTGATTACTGTACAGACCCTCTTAATTAGCAATTTAGAGAAAAAGTACTGGCAAAGCATACTTTCATATCTACAGAACAGAAGCAGGTACTGTAATACTCTGCCATAGAGTGGCTAAAATCCTTGTATACTGCTGACCTGCAAGAAATTATTTATCGCAATAAAACTAAAGTTTTATTTTTAAATGACATGACAACCAATACATGCAGTCATTGTGTGATCATCCTATGTCCTCACAGTATTCGAATATAACAAATGGACAAGCTCTACAATGTTCCAATTTGGTTGCAATTTGCCTGATGTATTAATGGTCTTTATTAAAATTAATGGCCAGCAAGCACAGTCTAGTAATTACAGCATATTTCCTTCAAACTACCTTGTACTACTTTACGTCAAACACAGCCATTCTTAACTCTTTGAAATTAAGCTTTTTTGTTTGTAAATATAATTAATAGGTTTATGGGATTGATTTACTCAAGACAAATAGGCTGCTCAGTCTGAAAGAGAATTTTCCCTTACATTAGTAAATGAGGTGAAGCTTTGCTGTCGTCCATCACCAAATCATGTGCAAACAAACATACTGTTTGTTTGTTTTTTATTCTCCTTGCACGTGATTGGATATTCTTTGCAAAGTGAATTTTCATCACATTAACTAAGCTAAGAGAAACATCCCTTGCAAAGTGAATAGCCTATTTGCCTTTAGCAAATCAACCCTTTGAGTATTTTGATGATAACTACATAATATATTTATACAATAAGGTGGTGAAACTTTAAGACAGCATAGCATGAAATTGTTCATAGTTACTAAATATGTGGGATATTAGAAGATCTGGTGTAAAAAATACATATACACCTCAATAACAGTATAAAAGGTAATATACAATCTACAGCGCTCTGTTTATTGAACCATAGCAAAACAGGCATGGTGTTATAATATGTTAAACTGACCTTTTAAATGGTTTCCGCCAATTGCATATAGACGATCATTCATTACAGCAAAGGCATGGATTGCTCTCTTAGTGTTCATATCTTGTTTCCGAGCCCATACATCCATAACTGGATCATAACAATACAGCCATTGCACATACTCGCCATTATGAACACCACCTGCAATTTGAATGATTGATTAATAATAGCATTACCCGACATAGTCTGAAATAATTGATATGAGACAGTATGGAACCATCCCCTTTTAAAGAGCTTTTGTTGCATTTTAAATGCAAGAGACAAGAAAATGAACATTAAAACAAAACCTTATAATTACCTAATCTCCTCCCCTTCTGTTAAACCATATAGCTAAAGGCACATTACAATCTATTTGGTTAGTTGAGGTTTTTATCATAAACTGATACTGTAGCATACTTCATGAGAGGTCGCCTAATATCGTCAACCCTATTAATCTGTATAACTAATCTAAACACAGTTGTTCCTTTTGGTCCAGAGAACTTGTTTTTTTTTTGGATCATGAAATGTGGACTGTAAGGGAATTTCCTTTTTTTACAGTTATGTGACTAAAAAGTTTTAACTCCAATCAGTATGATTCTTAATCATTTCCAACTAATCTTTAAAAACTTTTACACATACACTTAATTAAACATATGACTGTGTAAACACATCAATATAGAACTTAAAGATAACACTCCTAGTATTTAGTACAACTGGTGGGGGTACAAGCTTGTCAAAAGCTATGCTCATTCCAATATTTAAAGGATCATTCCACCCAAAACAGGTCATTTTTGGTAGATACTAGAGAGATAGCAGGTGAGACACCTGCTGAGCCATTGTGAGAGGTTCCTGCTTTTATTATATTTTCTGCTGATGTATCCAAGACGCAAAGGTGTCCTAGCTTAGGACTGAAGCCTGCCTAGCAGACTCCATATATAACTATTTTTTTATTTTTTTTTAGAGCCCGTGGAACTTGCATCGAAAAACAACTTCCCCCTGTGAACAAAAAAAGTGAACCGTGAAATCACAGCACACAAAAACGTGCACAAGGGTGCTTGGTCCTTCAATAAAGAAGGGACCTCTATTCCCGACCCCCCGGGTCGCAAGGCTCCTGACAGGGGTTGAGATACTATGGTCCACCTACCCGAAGGCGGGTGGACCCCGATCCTTTGGGGACTGCCGAAACAGGTCCCGCAACAGCTCTCCCGAAGAGAGACCCCCTGGTTGGGAGGAGGCAGAGAACCCTATATTAGGGCACAGAACCTTCTCCATAGCATCGGGAAAAGGCCCCGAAGTAACCTGCACCCTAAGCATTCTGTGGGTCAAAATAAAAAAAAAAAAAAAAAAAGGCCAATCGTGCATAAGGTGCAATAAATAAATAAATAGCCACCATCCACCCGGACTAGGAGTGGTGTCGTTCTTCCACCGGCAACTGATAAGAACAGATACTACACTTGATCTTAGCCAAAAGGACTCCATATATAACTAATATATCACTTTTGGGCAGGACCAGATTTACTCTCTCTGCTGCCCCAAGGCCGGGTTCTTCAATGCGTCCCCCTAACCACCAACCCCCCCGACCCCCCTCATGGAGAATGGCAGACCTGCAGGCTGCATACAAGTGATCTCGGTGACATAGCCGGGATTACTTGTACAAAACAAGCGGCAGATTCCCCGCTATAAATCTAGCTCTGCTTGCCCATTGCCCAATGCAGGGCTAAATGTAGAAAACAACTACCCATCCGGCGCCTGGAACGGCATGTCCCGGGCATCGGGAGATAGGAATTCCACACTCCTGCTGCCCTTTCACTCCCTGCCTACTCCCTGCTGCCCCGCTGCCAGGCCTTGGTTGGCATTGTGGGAAATCCAGCCCTGATTTTGGGTAGACTGGCACATTACAGGATTTCAAAAAGAGGAGCCCTAATGTCCTTTTAAAACAACCTCTAGTATGAGGTTTAGACATTGCCGTTATTTTTCTTGTTTGGTGCATGATGGTATTTTAATATTGGCACACCCTTCACCTCTTGCAAAGTGGACAAATGGCAGATGAAACACCACAATCCTTGTCAACAGTAAATTTATGAAGGTGAGATTGAAAGGGGAAGTTATTCAGGGTAAAAGGGATGGGGTGTGATCATTGCCTTTACCAAGAGTTGGCTTGACATTCTAGTTAGTCCATTATCCTTTAATGTAGGGTAACATATATAAAACTATATATATATAGATCTAACCTGACACACATTTGGTTAGAGCAGTGGCATTTAATCCTTTTTTTAATTATGCAAGCATTCATAACCCTTTTCTTTGACACTCCTACTTTGTTGCTACATAATACCAGAAGAGAGAGACTTCCATCAAATGTAATGTAATCGTCAAATTCCATTTAACTCAAAAACAATGGGATTTATTGTCCAACCTACTGGTTTCATAATATTGCTCTAGGC